TATTGATTTGAAGGAAGGTAGGTACTACTTCCGGGTAATGGACGTGTGTATATTTTGCGAAATGAAAATGTACATAAGAGGACTAATGAAAGCGTTCCATTGCCTCAAGTGAGTACATGGTAAGAAGATAATAATGTAACTACATGCATCCTACTTACTTAATCGTGGCTTTAAAGAGATAATGAAGGTCCCACCGAGATTTGAACTCGGATCGCTGGATTCAGAGTCCAGAGTGCTAACCATTACACCATGGAACCGGTTAAGAACAACGGTCTATTATGGGAGCTGCCATATTGAAAGTCCACATAGCCGCTGGGTAATGGATGTGTGTATACTTTGTGAAATGTATATGAAATGTATATAAGAGGTCTAATGAAAACGTTGCAATGCCTCAGATAAATACACAGTAACACGCTGATGACGTAACGGCGTGCAACCTATGTATTGAATAAAGGGCTATTTGAATAATAATTGAATAATAATGAATTGAATACTAACCTGCTTTGTAATAAATGACGCAACTGCGTGCAACCTACGTATTGAATAATGGTTAAAAACCTGCTTTGTAATAAAGTAAGGTTCCACCGAGATTTGAACTCGGATCGCTGGATTCAGAGTCCAGAGTGCTAACCATTACACCATGGAACCGGTTAGGAGCCAACGCTCCTTATAGACATTATAAATATTCAGCTTAAGAGAAACGGTATCTCGTACGACTGGAGGGCTAGGCCTGATGCGGGAATACACTTTTGAGTGGATGTCCATCACAGAGCACCACATGCACAAACCTAGGGGCAATTTAAAATAGCCAATCCACCAGAATGTTTCTGGGAGATGGGAGGAAACTGGAGAACCCGGAGAAAACCCACGCAACACGGGGAGAACATGTGAACACAAAGACAGCAACCCAAGCTCAGAGAACTCAGTCTGGGGACCCAGGAGCTGTGAGGCAGCATTGCTGGTCCGCTGAGCATAAATATAGCTATTATTTGTTTAAATATTATTATATAATTTGTTTATTAGTTTGTCTTTGCTACAGAAAACACTAATGACTTTATAAACATGAATTGGTAAAATTGGTACCAATAGGTGAAGCTAGGTACCCACATCCATTTAGCAAATACTAGCAGATACTGCAGTACAGCAATGACCTGACAATTTTGATTAAGAAGGAAATGATTCAATATTTGACAATATCACTGAATCTGCTATGACACGATACAGTTTGATTTGCCTCTGATCAATATGACCATTAATTTGCAAACGATGATGATGTAGAGAAGGACTATTTTATGTATCAGAGTTATGGCCAAATCACCTTGCTAGCCTAATAACACTTCAGAATAAAAATAGAATTTTTTTTTCACACAGTAGTTGTCTGTCCTTTTTCGATAATAATCGATTAATAATCAGTTATAATCAATAATAATGAGTTTAATCAATTATAATCAATTTATGATTGTTGCCTCAATTCATTTCAATCGTTGCCTTCGAAATTGATACAGCAATCCAAATAATCTGATTGTTTCTACTAGCTATGCTGCTGGATTAGCGCAATCTCACTAACTCTCACTCACTTTCTGCATGATAACTGCTTTATTCTGGTCAGGGTTGTGATTGATCCGAAGCCTTGTTGTTGAAAATATTACCTTCTGAAGGCAGATAGTAGTTAAACTCACAGAGACACAGTTGACTCCAAAGCAATATGTTTATTCTCGTCATGGCCGGGGAGAACAGCTCCGTCGACCAAATTGTTACATGCCATTATATAGTTCATATATTCTATACATTATATAGTTATATAGTTCATAGCTAGTGTTTGATGATTGGATAGAGGTAAACAAAGAACTTCATACTTATTGGTTAAAATAGGCCATCAACCATTACCATACCATCATTCATTATCATACAAGATTACATAGTTAACAGGAAAGGAAATACATATATGGTGTAAATCTGAGACTACCACAACTGTAAGAACTGCTGATAACAATTACTTCATCTTCACCTCAAGGTCATACTCTTCCTCTGTTTATCATACATAACAAGACATGACCGCAGTTTCACATCAAATGTTTCTAGAGAATCTCTCTATGCCTTATATCAGACCCTCCAGAACGTCTTCCCGTTATCTCACATACAACAAATCTGAATATAATGAACAGTGCACTAGACTTTTCGGCACCCATAAAAGTGTTGTATCTACGGAGTACGTGATGAAAACTAAGTATAATTAAGAAATAACTAATATAATAACTGATTAACTCATTAGTAGAAGTATGAAATTAAATAATTTTCCATATAACTCTCCTGGGAATACTGGGCGTGAGGCGGGAACAAATCCTGAATGGGACACCAGTCCAGCAGGGCATCATGCACACACATTCACACACTCATTCACACCTAGGGGCAATTTATCTTAGCCAGTCCACCTACTGGCAGGTTTTCGGGAGGTGGGAGGAAACTGGAGAACCAGGATGAAACCCATGCAGACTTCAATTTCATCACATGTATGTGCAAGCACATACTCTTTCAAATACGTGCTTCCGGATCTTGTGTACATCTGGAGGATTAAAAGCGATGTCCACTACTTGTCCATTTGGTTTCTAAGCTGAACTGTAATTTGTAGTGATTTCATGCACAGCAAACAGACTGACGAGCCCAGTTTCTCTTTAAAACTTTCCGCTGTCTGCAGGATTGTTGCCATGATCTCATATCGAAAATCTTCATCTAATATAGAAAATCCTGGACACTTACTACAGAAAAAAGGAGTGCTGTATGTTTTTAGTAATATGAAAAAATGGAGAGCTGAAACACAGCCTTTACAAACAGTTTTTAGTAAAAGAGCTGGTGGGCGAAAGTTTGTGTCGTGTTTAAAAATGTAACCACGTTTAGCCACATTACGAAAACATCGTGGGCCATTTTGACTTTCAGTGGTCACACAGCTGGTGTAGTAAATTTTTTACATTCATACACTCAGTGATCAAGATCTGATGAAATATTACAGAAAATTAAGCCCACCCCAGATGGGACTCGAACCCACAATCCCTGGCTTAGGAGGCCAGTGCCTTATCCATTAGGCCACTGGGGCTATAGTAAGTAGGCTGGATATATACCGTTATAAACGAATGCTTTGTTTTGCAGCTGTTTAATTTTATGTTATTTATAAGACAACGTTAATTAAAATAGAATACGTAAAATACAAACGCAGATATTAGCAGATTGTAGGTTCGAGGCCCATCTGGAGAGATAACTTTTTTTTTAATACTTTCGTAAAATTTCAACATATTTTAATATTTAAGGGTGTAAAGGCCTATATTTATTCTATTGATGTAGTTTTACCGTTTATTTTATAGTGAACACAACATGCTGTATTGCGACATAACGCATCTCTTGTATTTTATTTTCCTCAGTCGCATTTTACTGTAACTGACTGCTTTGGTGTTTTTAGCTCTGCCTTTTATACTTTTCATTCTTGTGTAAACTGTGACAATAAATCTACATCCAGTAACAGTTAGTTGAAGGTTGCAGCTCAGACAGGAGTGTTTCTACTCCCTACGGATTTACCACAGCGCCTCTCCTTCCTCTGAAGCCCAAACAGGCGGATTTCCACCTTTAAAACGGGGGCAATTCAGACTGAAATCAGATGTTAGCTTGGTGGCTAGCTACTCTCCAAATACAGCATCTCCAATCCATTGCTCTGGCTGATTATTTTGCCTGTGGTTGTTGGCTATCTTCTGAGCTTCCTGCTGAGGAAGGAGGGAGCAGAGGACAGGAGCACTTGGTGATACAGCAAAGCCAAACCCCATATCCTATACAGCCTAGTTAGAGGAATGGTGTCTTTTCGGTTAAACTCAAGTAGGTGATTTTGACAGTTTCGGGCTAAATAACTTTCACGCACCATGAATTTACTGCCATCCAACCCTCACGGAAATGGACTTCTTTATGCTGGATTCAACCAAGATCATGGTAGGATGTTTTTGTGTTGTTCCTGTTGAGCTAAGCTAAGCTAAGCTAACTAACGTCACAATCGCTATGCCGTGAAGGCGACAGCCAGTGGTAGCTGCATTAGCAAGCTAGCTAATAGTTTGAGGTCGACTTAGTGAAGATAGATGTATATTTTGGATTGATAGCTATCTACCTGCTGGTTTATATAGAACAGCTAAAGGAGCTAGATGGAAAAATAACATTTGCTAGTGTTGCCTTTATCAGACTTTTAATGACAGCTCGGTTAGTTTGCTCGGTTTGCTAGGTAGATAGCTAGCTAACTGGCTAAATGTGGTTTGTTTATACCTTGAATGTGTTTATTTTATTATCAAACGCCAAGAAAATTGCATGAGCAAAGTAGCCTTTGTCAGGTTGAAAGACATTACAGTGCAAAACATCTGAATATTTGTTTATTTGGAAAATGTATAACATTATCTCATTCGGCTGCCTGGTTACCTGAGTTACTTTTTTATTATTCAGAGAGAAATAATCTGTTTAAAAAGCACACATTTATAGTCTTATTGTTCTTTTTTTTTTTCTCCATTTTCAGGATGCTTTGCATGCGGGATGGAAAATGGCTTCAGGGTGTACAACACAGATCCTCTTAAAGAAAAAGAAAAACAAGGTGACTGCTGCTGATTGACATGTGACCTGACAGATCACTAACCTTTCTAACTCAATCACTGGGATGAGTGCTGCAGAACATACTTCACTGATGTATACATAATGATAACGCATAAATATAGGCTGTAACAAACTTGATTCATTTTAACACTTTTGTTAAAAGTATGTGGAAGGCTATATAAGGAAGTTAACAACTCAGTCTACAGTCCAGCACATGATTTTCCAGTATGATCACTTAAAATAAACACACAAGTATCTTGAGTATGCTGGTCATGGCTGTTGTGCGAGTTGTGAGATTTCTAAATTAGTTTTTTCCTCCCATGTTTCTAAATTAAATGGCCATTCACAACTACTTTTGGTGGATGACCTCATTTTTAGGGCTCCATGGGGGCAGTGATAGCTCAGTGGTTAAGACGTTGGACTTCTGCTCAGAAGGTTGCGAGTTCAAATCGCAGCACTACCAAGCTGCCACTGCTGGGCCTGTGAACAAGGCCCTTAACCCTTGACTGCTCTGTTGAATAAATGAGATAATTATAAGTCGCTCTGCCATAAATGTCATGAATATTGAGAGGACTGGGCTTGTGCAGCACACTGCAGCTTATTAAAATCAGGATTCTTAGCAAATTATCGGGTTTGTCTGGGTTCACATGTTGCGTTTCATGAACTTAAAGCTCATTGTGTGGAGCATTCATTTCTGTGAATTTCTTTCTTGCTCTGATTTAGTAAATATAACATGCAAATACATTATATGGCCAAAAGTATGTGGACACCTGACCATCACATCCATATTTAATTCTTCCCCAAACTGTTGCCACAAAGTTGGAAGCACACAATTGTCTAGAATGTCATTGTATGCTGTAGCATTAAGATTTCCCTAGAACTAAGGGGCCCAGACATGTTCTAGCATGATAGTGCACCTGAGCACAAGGCGAGGCCCATAAAGACATGGTTTACCAAGGTTGGAGTGGAAGAACTAGCCTGCACAGAGCCCTGACTTCAATTCCATTGAACACCTTTGGGATGAACTGGAATGCCAACTGCACACCAGGCCTTCTTGTCTGACATCAATACCTGACCTGCTCTTGTGGCTGAATGAGCACAAATCCCCACAGCCACACTCCAGAATCTAGTGGAAAGCCTTTGCAAAAAAGTGGAGGTTATTAGAACAGCAAAGGCAGGGACCAGCTCCCTGTTAATTGCCATGGTTTTGGAATGGGCACATATGCATGTGATGGTCGTGTGTCCACATACTTTCGGCCACGTAGTGAATGTGTAAATATTATAAACATGCGTTACCACTGTATGTGATCACATAAAGTTTGTTAATCCAATGAGATTTTACCTGTATGCTCTGTGTCTGTTATAACTTTAACGCAGTTAAATTTTAAAGACACAACACATGCTGCTGTAGTAGGCTATGGACTGAAATATCATCCACACACTGTATAGGTTATGGGCCTACATTGCAAAATACAGCATGAATATTGTATTTTGTAGCGTTTCTAGCTAGAAGCCATGACTGTGCTACACAAAAATACACTTACTTTTGTTATAAATAGTCTTTCTAATATAGAACTACATTAGAAATAACTGTTGGTAAAAATCTCCTGCCACCTAATTCACATCCAAAGCGATCCCAACGCTATGCATAACTAAGTGAGACAGACTGACAGTCATGTTTAGAAAACGTGAAGCATGATAGCATGGGGTTGATTGCTGTCATTTGATAGAGCATCTACTGCTCAAAATGTGGTCCTGTGAAATTGATTGAAGTTGTGTTTGGCTTACAGAGTTCCTTGAGGGTGGAGTTGGGCATGTTGAGATGCTCTTTCGATGCAACTACCTTGCACTTGTCGGAGGAGGCAAGAAACCCAAGTACCCACCTAATAAAGGTATGTTCTCTTGCACAATATGGGCAAAATACCATATTGTATACCTCTGAACATTACAATTAATATGACATTCAGTATAATGAATGAAAATGCATGAATGAATTTTTGAATATTTGTTTGTAGAGGTCAGTACTGCAGTAAGGTTTTTCTGCTGAGGGCTTAGGGAGGCAAATTCAAGCATGCAGAAACACACTGGCCATTGTTAAAAAGTTGTTTAGAAAAAAGAACAGTTTTGAGAATGCAGAATGATGTTATGTGGCAACTTAAAAAAATCCCGCAGTGATATCCAAGCGTCTTTAAATAATAATTTAAATAAGCTGTGCGTTTGCATGCCCGAGGCAACCACATCCGTATCCATGTCCTCAGCCTGGTGGATCTACACGGTACCACTTATATGCTTATTACTTATTATTAAAAGTACTAAAGAGTTTACATCTGTACATTCTGATTCACATTTACAAATCACAGGTTGTATCGTTATTAATATTATGCGCTGTTAAAATGTTACACTCAAATTTCACATCCTGATTTCCGCTTATCGGTGTTTGATCACACCGATAAGCGGAAAATGAAACAAATAGGAATTTGACTTTGATTTAAAAAAAAAAAAGGTCATTGTATTAAAATCGTACTTCCTCAATAATTGTTTTTAAAAGCCACATATGTATGCTTTTCTTTTTTACTAGTGATGATCTGGGATGACCTTAAGAAAAAGACTGTGATTGAGATTGAGTTTTCCACAGAAGTCAAAGCTGTTAAGCTACGAAGAGACAGGTATTTGTCTTTACTTTCAAACGATAATTTCGAGCGTTAATTCAAATATGCCATTCACTCTCATTTCATCAAGATCATTAAAGCCCCTGTCAACTTATTGCAAAAGAAAGAACTTTTTTTCAGTGAAAAGAGTTCTAAATTTATTTTTTCTGCTTTTTTCTGTCCGATTTGAGTTAGGCGGTACTACATTTGGTAGAGCTGAGATGGAGAATTAACCATCTGCTTCCATAGCTTTACCGCAACCAAGGAAACTAAAGTGACTTCATTCCTGCTCTCTCGGCCTCTTTGTGCCTGAGCTTGAGGAAACTGTATCTTTCTACAGTGTTACAGTTTTATACACATTTTATACACAGTGTAGTATTTTATTGGTGAGCAGTTCTACCTTGCGTTTTTTTTTAAACCATTATATGAATGAATACACCAACGCAGCATGTAATGAGTCGCAACTTGTTTGAAAACAAGTGGAAGTTCAGCTCTGTCATTCCTACATCTTTTTTTTATTTTATTTAAACTAACACTTCAAGTAGCTGTTAGTCATTATGTGATCTGACACATCCACACAGTTCTGAACATGCAGAAAATAGGACTTTTTATTTAGACTTAAATCATAGTTACAGATATATATTTCTTGAATGTACCACTGGTAAATGCTTGTTTAATGACAGATCTTTAGATTATTTTTTATTGTTTGAAATCATGTTGCCAGGGGCTTTAAATTCTGAGGTCAAAGCACTACACTCGCAAACAAGACTCTCTAGGAGTCTTTTGCAAGTCATGCAACTAAGAGTCAGGAAGCAAGTCTACCTTGCATCATCTTCTGACTCTAGCTTATGACATGACTGGTGTGGGAAATAAAAGTAGTTCTGGCTGCATTTCCTTAAAGTGCTCACATCATCAAATTAAAAAACAGTTGATTAGGGCTGCATGATGGTTAATAAAATAATCCAATTTAGCAACAAAATACAAAAAATTAAAAAAAAATTAAAATTGGCTACTTCACATTGTATATTAGAAGACTATATTCCTTTAAATGTGTAAAAACCTTAATCAAAATAACCATTTTATCAAAAAACCATTTTGAAAAATAAATTGGAACCTAGGTCATTTATCGAAACAGGACCAGTATCTAACATTAGCCATTATTTAACATTAGTTGATGTCAGCTAAGCTCACCAGTATCACAGTCCATTATGTTTAATTAAGGAAGTCAAAAATCGTGATTCAGGATTAAAATAAAGTGAATTATTCTTTTATCTTTGCTGGTGTGTCAAGTGACGCTTATTCTACCAAATGAAAATGAGACATTTGTGAAAAAAATTCCCATCTGTCCTCACAAAAATGGGACAATTTAGGTATGGGAATGAGTACCAACTGATAGTACAGCAATTTAAACTCTGACACTAATACAAATTCTGTATTTAATAATAAGCTGAATAGTACTCGGTCCTTGTTCTTTATTTTATATTTATCTACAGCTGACCTAATTATATATGCTGTATAAGGGCTACTAGCTAGCGTATCTTAATACATAAAGCCAGAATTTGTCTGTGTTTTATCAGAATTGTGGTGGTCCTGGATTCAATGATCAAAGTCTTCACTTTCACACATAACCCTCACCAGCTGCATGTCTTTGAAACATGCTACAACCCTAAAGGTATGTCTCTATACCATACTCTAAATAAACTGTACTGAAATATTCAATGGGCCTCATTTATCATGTCTGGAAATGATTTTTTTATTTTTTTTTTTTTTCTCTCCCCATACTCACATGCGTAGGTTGGTAAATGCCAATCACCTGTAACTTATCACGTGTGTTTACGGCACAGTTGAATCACATTTAGTGACGCCCACAAATCTTCGTAAAAGGCAAAGCTCACAGAGAGCTGAAAATGACTAAACAGTGATAGACTGCCTTTTAAGTGAGGTGTGTGCTAAAACTTCAGCCCGTGCAGCATATCAGCTACTATAGACACACACTAACTCTCCCTCCTTTTATATGGCAGCATTTCTGTTGTCCCAATTGAATTGCTGGTCTTATTTGTCTTTATTTATGTATTGCTTTCTTTAAGCTATTTAAAACCTGACAGAATAAGTCATATATAAAATTGAAGTAACTCATACCAACTATACAGTTTGAAGCTGATCAATCAAGGTTCACTGTAGTGAGTCTACGTTAGGATAGCAACATTGTCCCAAACTGAATTTTTATAAATATGACATTTCTTGTTTAAATGCTCTTGCAGATGATTTACGGATGCACTTGTTCATATCCATTTGTTTCATATCATGAGGCTCATTGTTATTTTGTATGTTGGTGAAGTTTCAGGTCTTATTAAATGGACTTAAAATTGGGTTGTTAGTAGATACTGATTTGTTTTCTTCCCTAATATTTTCAGATAGTTGATGCAGTTTACTTCTTTGATTATCTTTGCAGGTTTGTGTGTTCTGTGTCCAAACAGCAACAACTCTTTGCTAGCATTTCCGGGCACCCACTCTGGACATGTGCAGATAGTAGACCTGGCCAACACAGAGAGGCCTCCGGTGGACATTCCTGCCCATGAGGGAGCTCTGTGTTGTATCGCCCTCAATCTCCAGGGCACACGGATAGCCACGGCTTCAGAAAAAGTGAGAAATGGATGTGGAAGTTCTGATACAAGAATGGAGATTTTGAACAATATTGCTTTGTTTTCACCCCAAAGTAAATAAATAAATCATGATTTAAAGAAAGAATTTATGAGATGCTTTGCTGCAAAAAAAAGGAATAGTGTAGATGTGTACGGTCTAACTTGGTTTTCAT